TACAAATTAAGTTACTAGTTTATCCTTCTGAAATCAGCATCAAACATTATGAAAAAGGCACATGAGTAGACGTACAGCAAGTTGCCATTAGTCACACAGACAGAGCAGCACGACAGAGCTGGAATTAAAAAATACATTTCTCAGTGAAGGCAATGTAGGTAGCTGCCTACATGGTATAATTTGATGGTGAGATTTTCCTTCCCCTAAATAACTCTACTGAAATTTCATCACTTGTTTTAGTTAACAAGCTAATCTTAGAAAATGTAAATATTCTAGAAGGGTTATGACAGTAAGGAAGCTAATAGACCTTAATGTAGAATCATGGAAATAAAATACCTTATAGTTAGAAGGGATTTTTCATGGCTTTTAGTTCAGTTCCTTTCTCACTTCCTGAAGTCCCTCTTTGTTTCTTCTGAGTGGAGCTCCTCAGAGAGCAGACCACTCCACTGGTAGCCATCTCTTTTTCTTTTTCAGTGTTATTGAGCTATACTCGACATATAACATTGTATGAGTTTAAGGCATACAAAATGATTATTTGGCTCGTGTCGGTGCTGCAAAGTAAGGATAGTGGTATCTTTGTTTTTTCATTTGGAAAATATGACTAGATTTGTATTCAAGTCAGAGACCCGGGGAGTCATTCTACTGCTCTCCTTCCTTCCTTTACTCACGCATCCAATGAACTACCAAATCCTATTTTCGTCTTTTTACTTATCCCATGTGTCCCTCATGGTAACTTCTACTGAACAGTTTATGTTTGTCTTCTGGATCTGCGGATGACAGGTTTTGTTCCTTTTTTCTTCTTCTCTTCTTTCTTTCTTTTCTGATTTTTTTTCTTTCTGGGTTTAACAAGGAGATTGTTAATCTCTTTCTCTGATTTACCAGTGTGATAACTATGTGAAAAATATGTGGTCATTTTGACATAACTTGTTCCTTCCAAGCCACTATTAACACCCTGAATTACCAATAGCTCCTTTTCTTAGTACCTACAATCCATGTAGTTGATCACTGATAATCCTATTCCAGATTTTTGTCTGATGGTAAAATGAGCTATTTTTCCTTATATTCCCTTTCCTTTTTTTCAAAATGGGGAGAGCGCTTATTCATCTTCTTAGACCCAGCAAAATGACTTTAATATTGCTGGTAGATAATATTTGAAATGTATTTGGCCTATTGATTGAAATTCATCTAAAATATCTAGATTGTCTGGCCATTCACTATTCTGTTTCCTATTCTGTTTTATTTGGTTTATCATTTCCAGTTTGATGATTTTTCCTTTGGGTAGAGAAAAGTAGAATTGTTTTATCTTCTCTTTATCATCTTTTAGCATTAGACCATCTGTTCCAAACATTGAAGCTATTCCCTTTTTACTCTTCTTGCCCAAAACATACTTAAAATAAAATCTTTTAGTTCTCTGCTATCCTTTTCAAGTTGTACTTCAATCTGGGCTATAACATTCCTCAAACTGAGCTCAGAGTGTCATAATACTCCTGTGTATTTGTTTGTGGGTGAGGACTTTTCATTTTTTGTACATATGCTTTAAAAACCAATCCACATAATAGAATTCTTTTATGTCTCTCTGGTTTTCTCTTTTTCTTCTTTTGTATTTGTATGCTCAGAATTTAGTACTTAAAAATTAAATTTAAATTCTCAAGAATTGTAGAGTCTTCTTTGGATCTGAACATGGGATCATGCGTTTCTTTGATAAGCACCAGATTCTCTGAATTAAGTCTTAGGTAACTTACACATGTATGTGTCCATTTCACTCACCCAACTGAAATTCCATGAGCACAGAAACTATGTAGCTTTCTCAGCATCTCACGTAGGTTCTAGAACATAAAAGACACTCAAAGAGAATTCACTGACTGCAGTTATTTAAGAAATATTAGCTCTGAGTGTTTTCTTGTCCTCTGCACTGCACAAAGCCCAGATGCTTGAGTCCTCTGAACTCTGACAAAGGTCTGAGAGCACACCACCACAGATGTTCTTTCTTGTTATGACTCAGGAAAAGGTTCAACAAATTGGCACCACAATTGTCTCTACCTCTTTCTCTACTAAGATTCTGCTAAAATTTTTACAAACTTCTCCCAGAACAAGGTCAAAGAATAGCCCTATTTCACTTACAGATTCATTTTTGCAACCCACCAATCATTTATTTCCAATGAAACCTAAAGCAACAACACAAAAAACACATTCCAAGCTCACAGTCACTGTCTGACCCATTTGTGTTGACAGGATGGACCCAGGCAAGGTCCAGCGCCTCAGGCCAGCTCACTGGACCTAGTGTAGAAAGGTCCATATGTCACTGACACACAATGAGGAGTCTGTGTCAGCTTTTTGTGGAACAGAGCTGGAGTCCCCCTGACTGTCTGACTTGGAGAGACCACTTAAGTTTTCCTTGTTATTTTTTTCTAATTATCTTAAATTAGGAATATTTTCAAAATTAAGGGGCAGAGAGAGGGAGAAGAATATTGCTGAATAGAATTTGGAAGTATTTCAATAGATTTGAATAACCTCATTCATGTGGAAGGAATTGGCATCAATACAGTAGAATTTGAAATGAAGTGAAGATAAAGCGGCTAATTCCTGAATCACAATAAAGAGTATTTGGAGTGTGGTGTTGGACTTAAATTATATTCAGGCATTGTCAACACACAGCAGGCTGAGCTGAAACTTCCCTCCAAAAATATTATATTGAATAAAATAATAAAAAGTTACATATTTATACTACCCCAAAGAAAAAATATCCTCAGAACCAGGGAAGAGGAAACCCATGTCTCTGAGGTACAGGTTGGGAGTTTCTGACCTGGGTTAAAGGTCCACACACACACTCAGAGACTAAGTTTGGGCTCTGTTATCCAATTATATTCTCCAGGTTATATTCTCTTTGTCTCTAAACCTTCAGTAAAATGTCTTAAAAAGCCACAGACTGATTTTTTGCTCTGCTGCAGGGAACAGGGAGAGGGGGGCTTTGTGGTTGTTTCCAGCAGAAGACAGAGCAGCATGGGGGTCGGCCATGGTATGCCCACCTATGGGTCCTGAAGACTGAGGCACCACCAGAACGGGAAACACAGAGAGCCAGGGCAGGTGCGGGGCACCTTGCAAGGGGGGCAAATCCTCATCATTTGATCACTTACTGCTCATGCCATAATAATGTAATGGAAGAAAGGCATTTCTTTGTTTTGAAGCCAAATGCAAGTGAGACTTTTGATATAGGGGTCCTAAAACCTAGAATGGAAAGAGCCTTAGCATCTTTCTACTTTGTAAAGAGTGGAATTGAGGACAAAGTTTCCTACTATGTCATGGAAAAACTGATGCTATGAGCCAAGACTAGCTTCTGGTCCATGTTCTTTCCTCTGCACTGCCCTGTCTTGAGCCTGAATGATGGCAGGGTTCATGAGGAGGTTCGGCATGGCGTAAGAAGATCTGGAGCCACTAGCCTTACTTTGAATCTAGGCTTTGCCTCTTCCCAAAGAGTCACCCTGGGCAAGTTACTTAACTTCCAGTCCCTCAGTTTCCTCATTTGCAAAAAGGGGATGGTAATGATACTAAGCTCAAATGGATGTTGATCAAGTAAAACAAGCTGTAATATACTTTTATGTAAATATTACATATTCAGAGAATCCTAGATATTATTATGAGTCAGGGTTGGGCTCCAGCCTGCCTTCCCTGCCTTATCTCCCCTACACTCCTCTCCTCTGCCCCCCAGTCTTTGTCATGTGCCTTTCTTGCTGTTTCCTCAAGGTCCAGCTTTTTGACACCCACATGCTATTCTCATGTCTGAAATGAATTCTGCTTCCTTGTACATATCTCAGTTCTGAAATAAAATCTTTTGCTTCAAAACCTTCATTCAACCTTCTCTCATCTTCACTCCCACAGTTAAATGCTCTGTCTTTATAACTGCTCCATCTAGCACTTTCCATATAGGAAAATGATTATGATATTTTGTCTCTGGGTTTTCGTATTACTGTGATCTCCTTGAGGGTGGTGTTAGTATCTTGTTCTTAATAGTCTTTTAAAAGTTGCTTATTTCCAAATAACAAATATAGACCCCCCTTTCTAAATTGAACATACCCAACACACACACACACACACACACACACACACACACACACACACACACACACAAGCATTACCCCATCCTTGACTGACTTTTCTATTCAGTGCCTATCACCATTTAACATACTATATATTTTATTTATTCATTTTATTTATTGCAATAATATATATAAAACACTTAGACTCCTGCATGGTTAACACATGCCTAGCAAGTGTTGCTGGTTTTTGCTGAGTATGACTATCATTATTACTTGCTCTGCTATTCTGAGTAGTGGTAGTGATGTTTGTATTTATTATCATTATTATTATTGCTGAGCTGCTGTCATTTTAAATGGCAAAAGAGATTGTCAGGGATTGTCAACACACAGGAGGCTGAGCTGAAACTTTCCTTCAAAAATATTATATTGAATAAAATAATAAAAAGCTACGTATTTGCACTCCAAAGAAAAGATATGTCTCTTCCTTGTACTTAATTAAATTCTGGTCTAGGGAAACGCAACTGATATATTTTGTTTGTAAACACAGTTAAGTTATTATTTTTTAAATATATAGATTTCTTATTTTCAAGTACATTACTTGGAATAATGCTGAACTAGGAGCCAGAAGACCCAGATGCTATGTGACCTGGGGCCAATCCCTTCATCCATCTTTAAAATAAGTACTTGGAAAAATCAGCGACAACTTAACATGTGTTTCCTCCTCTCTCCTTTTCCAGTGATAGCACTGCTATTCCTGTTGAGGGCGGGTGTGGCCCCAGAGTCCTTGTTACAGTCCTTTAGGGCAGCAAGTTTCTCCCACCCAGAGTTAGCATGAGAGATACAACCTCCCGGTCACCCTGCCGTGATCCTCAGTCCCTTCCTGTTTTACCATTCACTGGTCTATATAGATGAACATGGAGAAGAATTATCTCTTTGTTCCCCCTGGACCTACAGGCTTGTACTCACCACTTCTCATGGAGTCTCATCTGCCCATGTAGCATTTTCTGGTCAGTGTGGTGCTGGCCTAAGGGTGAAGGCCACAGCTGCCTCCACCTCAGGGATATTACTCCTAGAGGAAAGCATACACTTCTCTGTTCTTGCTTTTGTAGAACCAGAGGCATAGCAGTATCCCCTGGGACCACAGTGGGGCCAGGACAGCCTGCCTCGCAGAAGAGAAATGCTGGGTTCCATCTTTCTTGCAGTCAGGGAAGATGTTGGTTTCTTTCATCAAGCCGGTGTCACGGAGGTGTTGTGAAGATTAATGAGCTAGCGTTTATAAAGTGCTCTCCTCTACCTTGAGGAAAAACAGGAGATAAAAAGAACACCTCACCAAATTCCCTTCATTTTAGGCAAACCTTTTCTGACCTGTTCATTAGAGCTCATTTCCAGCACTGAAATTCTTAAAAGCCTATATGAACAATTTGTAATTTACTAGAGATTTTATTTTCATATTTGAGATAGGGAATAGGGAGTTTTCTCTCTAGTTCTAATTTTTTATTTTAAATATATGCTCCTTTACAAGATTTCTTTACTGTTGAGTGCAGATGGGGGAGGGTAAAAGAAAACTAATTTTCTGAGAGCTCATAGCATGGCCAGCCTGCAAGGCAGGAATCACTAGCCGCCACTCTCAATAATAAAATAATATGCACACATTTTAATTAATTTCTTTCATCACAGAAGAATTACATTTGCCCATAGTCTAGAAAAAATGCACCAAGGGAAGCTTCTCTTGAAGAAACTTTGGGTTGCTCTGTAGAAATCTCTCATTCAGTAATAAGCTCTTCTACTGAACTTAATGAATCCTCATTCCTCCCTCAAATTAAATTTCATGGGCACATCTGTTACATAATGTATTGTGATTACACATGACTGCTAAAATTGTTTACCGAGAGCTTCTCACATCTGTTGGAATGACTGTATCACAGAGGAACTACGTGGAGAGTCGGTCACAGTTTGTAGATGCCACCCTGGGCCTTGTTCACTGGTGTGACCATCATGGCCCTTGGGATGGCCACCTGACCCTCTGAGGTGGAAACTTTGTAGAGAAGTTCTGGCCCAAGAGGGAAACCAACCTGAGAATGTCTCTTTCTGTACTGACTTCACTCAACCAAGTCACATTAGCTCCTGGGTTCCCCTTCTACCATATTTCCCCTTCCTAGTGTGAAATATTACATTCGTCACCACTGGACTTGAAAGGTATTGTGATACTTGTAATAGAAGATTCAAACATTCCTGGAAGAAAAACGATCCTTACCCATAATTATCCTTAGCCATAGTATTATCCTTACTCATAATAATAACTATATTATATGTACATAATGCCACAAATGTATATAACTTGTCCTTGATATGTAATAATGATATCTTACTCATAAGTGTGTATATATATCTATTGATTGATCAATTTCTCACTTTCAGTGAACTCTAGAAATGCCCCTAAAATAATCACCCACAAAGTAAAGGTTAATAAACTATTTTTAACTCATTTTGAAAAGGGAAAGTCACATGGCACATGCAATTCATATATGAATATTGATGTTGCACATGGTATTTGTTATGAATGATTTTAAAATGAGAAAAATTAGAATAAATTTACATATCTAAGAGTTTCCAGAAAAAGGAGGAAGAACATATGTACATAGGTAACAATGCAAAGGAAATTATAACTGTGAGCAGAGAAGAGCAAAGCCCTGAGTGTGTGGCAGGCCAGGCTGCTTTAGTATGAAATGGGAAAGGGCATGTTTCATGGGAGAGGTATCCTTGTGCTTGTGCTGGGCCTTGGGTAAGGGGTGAAATTCTATGGTGGAAACGCAAGGAAAGGACACAGTGGGCAGAATGAAGAGCAGGGCGGAGGTATGAAGACAGGAAACCTCCTACTTACTGGAAACATGTCTGGGTGGAATATAAGGAGAAAGAAAAGAGGTAGTGGAGATAATGTAGAAACATTATTTTTTCAACCTAAAATGGGGTTTTTACCTGCAAAATGGGCCTACAAATAACTGTACCTACTTCATGAAATTGTAAGAATTGACACATGTGAATTTCTTGGTGCCAAACACATAGAAAGCACTTAATAAATGCTAGCAACTGCTTCTGCATTATAAATATTTGTCAATGTTCCACAGAATTAGAAAGAAAGCATATTCTCTGTTTAAATGGAACTCTGGTTAATTTATAGCAATCTTATATTTTTCAGGTCTTCTCTGTGATTAGCTGATCAATTGTGGTCTAGAGCAGGAGTTGGCAAATTATAGTGGGCAAACCCACTTGCCGCCTGTTTTTTGTAGATATTGTTGGAACACAGACACACATATATATGTATATAAAGTCTCTGGCAGAGTTGCATATTTGTGAAAAACTGTGGCCTTCAATGCCCCAAATATTTACTATCTGGCCCTTCTCTAGTGAGAGGCAAATTTAAATTTCTTGTTATTATTTTGTTTCTGAATTTCTTCTTATCCTTACAGCAGATTTTAATAGTTGTATTTTGGGTTTATGTTTTCCAATGGTTTAAGATTTATTGTGGCATTTAATTTTTATCATTTTGAACTGCTGCTATTTGTCATTTACTTATGCTTTGCAATTAAATTTTCTGATATCTATATTACCAACTCCTGATACCTCTCTGTATCTCTTGTTATGTCTTTATTCCTTTAGGGCCACCTTTATTTGATCTCTTGCATCTCTTTCTATGTATTTTTTAAATTTAATATGATCTGAGGTGAATTTACCCCATTTGCCTGTACTGTTAAAATTACTTTCCTTCATTGTAATACCATCATTTTATATTTTTCTCTGTACCTATCTTTCCCTTTATGGGATGAATGGGTGTGTGTGTATGAGAGAGAGAGAGAGAGAGAGGAATGAAAGGAATAGGGGGAGAGTGAGAAATCAGAGGAGAGAGACAGAGAGAAAGGGAGACAGAGAGAGAGAGGTTGTGAGGATCCAACCACAGACCGCAGAACCACTCTGAGTGGTTTATGCAGAAGAGGATTCACTACCGGGTCTTCAGTGGTTTGTGAAATCGGAATGGCTGCAAGAGCAGGCTCTAGGCAGGGTTCCTTTCTCATCGGATTGCACTGCTCAGCCATGATTGTGGTTGAGAATTCTGAGGTAATATCTGAGGAAGCTGTTGGAGCAGAAAGATGTGGCCATGGCATAGTTTGTCACGATCAGGGAAACCTCATCCGCATTGTGGCCGGTGCTTTCTCCTGGGACACGTGGCTTCTATTGTGGTCTCTGTCAGAACATGAATGCTTTAAGCTCCACCTCTCTCATTCTCCTTCTGTGTTCAAATCTCAGTGAATTCATATGTAAACACATCTGGAATCTGGCACATGGATGTCTGGGAAACGTAAATTTTATCTGTTTGTTCTCTGCAATATAGCAATTATTTAAAAAAATCTAGGTGTCAAGCAAGTCAATCCACTATATCCATCACTTGGTATTCTTCCCTGCTTTAAAGAGTATGCATAGCTTTGAATAATATAGGTGAGTTTAAATGTTACATATACATTTCTGTTGATTTATAAATATTAATTTGGATGTATTGCCTCTCAAATATGAAATATGAAGTATCCAACTCTATTTTCTCTGAAATATGAAAGATGAAACAAGCTAACTTCTACTTCCATGATTTTCCCGGTCTTGCTCATACTTTATATTAATCATATTACTAGTTTTAAATGGTAAAGGTTTTAGCACTTACATTCTGCCCTAAGCCTGTAATTGGCATTAGTTCTGCACTTTTATAGATATAATTATACTGATAATCTTTCCATACTATGGCATTTCCATTTCCAAGTTCTTTAACTTGATACATCTCATGTTTGGCTGTTTTTCCCTAACAGATATATCTATCTTGTAGTGCATTGATAAAAATTCTGAAATAATGTATATGGAATGTCTGTGCATAATAGGCACTCAAAAAAAAGCTGTTATTTTTTTGCTATAAAGGAAACCAAATTGAAGGGACAAAAATTGAGAACATTAACAATGATGGAAAACAATTCCTGGCATATAGTAAATAATGAATAAATTTTGATCACCATTTTTTCTAAGCATCAAGAACACCAGATTTGAGTCTTTCCTATTATACTAAACAATATTATGATATTAAACTAGGAAACTTATCCAAGGCCACAGACTCATTGGTTTTCTGAAATATGATCTGAGGAAATTTTAAAGAGTCACCTATGACTGGGCAAGATATCTAGTCTAATGGACCTCAGTTCAGTGTTCAGTAAATGGAAACAGCAGTGTTCGTAATCCCTTCAGCCTCTTCCTACTCTATATTGTATTTTCTTGATTCTTGGTGGATTACTATAACTATTTTTAGAATCTAAGTTTGCCTTCCAGGTGCTCTGAATGCTTCTTGACATATTTTCTGTGCTGTCAGTTGATGTGTGTGACAGGGAATGCCAACTAATTCTATATTCATCTAAGAAGGCTATCATTAAAAAAGAAATTCATGTCATGCTTATCAAAATCAAGGAGTAGTGTTTTGCTTATCTATAGTTACCAGCTGCCCACATCATTGCAGGTCTTTTGCAATATGTAAAATAAGAATATGACTTTATTTGTATTCAAGTCCCAAGCAGTATTTTTAGAAACTTGGAAGCTATCTTAGATATTTATCTGATAAAAAGCCAAATGTCATTGAAATACACACACACACACACACACACACACACACACACACACACACACACACACACTGGAATACATTATTTTCTGATAGCTTCCACCAAGCTGAAAGACTCATTAAAATGGGGAATATTATTGAAACTAAAGAGACACAAGGAATAAAGAAAAACCTCGTGACCTCATTCATGACTTTGGGTTATTTTGTGCAGTGGTTACAGGCCTCTAAAGTGGTGGTCTGGAAAATTCAATTGCAGATGCATAACTGGATATTACAATATTGGTTTTCTGAAATATGACCTAAGAAAATTTAAAACACTTAAGAACTAACACAGCAGTGAAAACACTTGTGTCATTGATATTGGAGATGACAGGGGAACATACTGGTGAAAGCAAAATGTTAACACTCGGTGAGAAGACATTTTTTGAGGCTGCAACATGGAATAAAGTTTGATTGAGAGGTAACTTTGCAGTGGCCGATCACAACCAAAGTTATTATGGAAAAGTTAACAATTGTGTCTGCATGTTCTCCCTACGTCTATGTTTAGTGTCTGCAATTCGTGTTAGTTCAAGAAACTATAAATAAAAAACTAGCTGCCACCCAGGCAGCTCTGACTTTGGAATCTCACAAAGCAAAGTGCTAACAGGAGC